TTAATTGAAAGCCTCCAGGGAAGAGAATGAAAGATAAGATTACCTAAATCTTTTGCATACATGCTTTAGTTCCTGATTCATCGTGCTTCCAGCTCTTCAGCCAACCAGAGGACTCAGTACTAGGCCCTCAGTCACTCATGGCCAGAAACCAATTCCCCAAAGTTCTATGTATGGGATTGAAACCAAGCAAGGAACATCTATGAATATTCTATATAACCCACAAGGAAGGGTGAATCTGAGCATATTCTCAGGACTGGACCCTCATTGGCCAGTCACACACTCCCCCAACCTCCATGATATATCTAACATTTATATAGCCTTTAAGGTTTACAAAGCACCACACATAACATTATCTCATTTTATTCTCATAACAGCCCTAAGAGGTAAGGTATGAAAGAGGCAAAGAAGAGACAAGACAGAGTGGTCAAGGAATAGTTGAAAAGGGAGAGAATACTAAAAAGGGGGAGGGTCAAGGAGGTGACACCTAAAACTGAGCCTTGAAGAAATAAAAGGAATTTAAGAGGCAAATGTAAAGCAATGTATTCTAGGCATGGGAGATAGTTTTATAAGTGCATGGAAACAGAAGGGAACATATTGAATTCAGGGAACAAATCAAAGTCCAATTTGTCATATAGAGAGTATAAAGGAGAATAATGAAAAATTAGGCTGTTTCTTCTATTTCTACTTGCCTAACCAATTTCACTCTTGGTCCCAGGACCAAGCAGGCCAGTTCTCTGACTATCCATCTTTTCTGGGTTTCATTGTCTTCTTACTTATAACAATAATCACTATTGATCCTCCAGTGAACACCCAAATGAGACTTACTTCTCATCCCCAGCTGCAGGTAAAGATTTATCTTCCTCTCTTGTCTGCTCACTTTGGTTATAAGATTCTTGAAATTTGAATCTTAGTGGTCCAGTCACCATAGACACATCCATTCCTCTCTCTTCTGTATCATCTGTTGAAGAACTGAAATAATCTTTTAAGAACCTTGGATCTAAACTTTAGCTTTTTTCATTGGCTCAGTGTTGTCTATGGGACAAACATAATAGGAAATCTTTCTTTTTTTTTCTTTAACTAAATATCTCATTGACATGAAATGAGCACTTTTTGGCCCACTGTCCTAGATCCAAGCTGCTACACATCTCTTCTTGGAGTCCTAGGGGTACCCTGAGAGGTCAGGGGTATCACTTCCCTAACTACATTGGCTCAAGTCTCCACAGGTTTGCATGTCCTTGTGATGACTAGTGTTGCAGTTCCATTTGTAAACTTAACAAGAATTCTTTTCTACATAGGGACATTTATTTCAAGGATCAGGCAAGAACAAAAGTACAAACATTTCCCCCTCCCTCTGACACTTCAGGGACCCGCTTTCCCTTGTCCCACCTCAGTCTCAGTCAGGGGTGGAGTGAGGGGGATGGAGAGGAGAATAGACTCATTTTTAGCACAGTTCCTACATAGCATTGATCCTACCAAGTTTGCATCCAAGTCCTTGTCTCTGCTGCCCCTCTTGCTGAGTCCAGTAAGTCACCACTGAAAAGTCACTCCCTGCTCCTTGGGGAATCAAGGCAGGGCTGGCTACAAAACCTTAATGCAGAGATGCCAAGATACTGGGATGTCAGAGGCTCATTCTTCTGACCTTTTGAAACACATGATCCAGATTAATCTCCTTCACTTAAAACTGAAGAGAAAAAAAATGGTGGAGAAAGACTAAGGCCTGTTTTGACAGGGTCAAAGTTCTGGTTGCTAGTACTTTTCTGAATGCCTCAATAGCCAATAGGAAAATGGTCCTCCTAATCACAAGGTTCATGAGATGGGACCAGTTATAGAATCTCTGCCATATAAACTCAAGTCTCTCCAGGGTACTTCCATTATATATCATCACTATTCTTCTGGAAGCATGTTTTCAGCTTTCTCCCTGTAGAGCGATGCTTTCAGAGGCCCTCTGTGTTTATGCCAGTTCCCATAACAAATACTTTAAAAAAAAAAAAAACACCGTCATTTCTCAATAATCACCCACCTCCAAAAATCCTCCCTTGTAGTAAAAAAAAATAGTTAAGAAAAAAACAAAAAAAATACATTTTCTATGTCTGACAATGTATGCCTCATTCAATACTTTACTGTCTGTCGCCTCCATGACAAAAGGAGAAAAGTATGTTTTGTTTCCAGTTCTCTGAAGTCAAGATTGGTCTTTGCATTGATCATAGTTACACTTTTTTCAACATTGTTTTCTTTTACATTATAGCAGTCATTGTGTACATTGTTGTCTTGGTTTTGCTTACTTCATACTGTATCACTTCATCATAAAAGCCTTTCATAGTTATCTTCACAGAATTCATCATATTTGTGATTTCTTTCAATGCCATAATATTCTATTACATTCACATACCAAAGCTTGTTCAGCCATCTCCCTAATCAATGGGCACCAGTTTCCTTCCAATTCTTTGCTGGAAAAATATAGCACTAAAAGTGCTACTATAAATATTTGTTTACATTCCTTTCCCCTGTTTTTGATGTCCTTGAGATCTATGCCCAGCACTGATTTCACTGGGTCAAAGGGCATATACAATTTAGCGATTTTTCTAGTACAAAATTTTCTAGAATGGGTGAGCTAACTCATAGCTCTGCTAAGACCGGTTTTTTTTACATTTTTAATTTATGGGATAAAACAAGCGTTTTTATAATATAGTATAATAAAAAAGATGCACATGAAACTGCAAACCTATTGCATACAACTTGCTATTCCTTTTGATTGTATAATAAAATTATCATGAAAATTTCTTCTTTTTTCTTCCCTTCCCTCTCCCCTTTCCCACCCTGCCTCACCACTACTAGCTTTATTTCCAAAGATGATTAGTGAAAAAGGAAAAGAACCAATAGTGCTTTAATATCAGGAAGCCACTTTTAATATAATACCAGAGTCCCAGCCTTCTCTGCTAATCTAGTCTTTTCCTAATCAGTCAGTCAGTAAACATTAAGTGCCTACTGTGTGCATGGCACTGTACTATGTCCTGGGGATACAAATAAAGGCAAAAGACAGTTCCTGTCTTCAAGGAACTCACAATCCAAAGTGGGAGACAACATGCAAATAACTATATAAAAATAAGATATATCTGTAATAAATAATAAACAATAAACAAGGGGAAGGCAATAGGATTAAGAGATTGGGAAAGGCTTCCTGGAATTTTAACTGGGACTTAAAGATAGACAGAAGTCAGGAGGCAGAGTGGAGGAGAGAGCATTCTCTCTTCTGGGAGGATGGAGGACAGTCAGTGAAAATGCCTGGAGTCTGAAATGGAACATCTTGTTCAAGGAGCAGCTAGGAGGCCATTGCCCCTGGATCAATGAGTGTGGCAAGGAGGTGGTGAGGAGAGTAAGATTTAAGAAGATTCTCCTAAGTGATACAGATGCGTATTAAATGTTTAGCCTTAGCACAGGCTAGTGGGGAGAAACTCTCTACATGTTAGCCCTCTCATCTAGACAGAATTTCCCAGTCAGAGGATATCAAGTGGCTTGAGGAACCCATCAAGCCAATATTCTTTTCCTAAGGAAATTTTCAAATGTCATTATTCCTAAAGTTATATTGTTTGTTGCCATCTCCATCCCCCTGAATTCAAGAGAAAGGAAAAAAGGAGTCAGGCCCCAGGACTTGGTCTTTTGAAGGGTGTCCTTAGATTTCAGTTTTCAGTTCTGTTGCTAAAAGAATTTTAGTGTCACAGGTGATTTGGGGGAATCATGAAGGTAGACGCATGTCTGATTCCTCAGCCTTGCCATGGTCTCAGAAAGAAGTAGCTATAGCCATAATTAGAGTAGGTAGCTGGCTATTTGTTATGTCCTCTGCCCCAAATTATCTACCATCCAGATTTGCCATGATGACTCAATTCTTACCATTAGAATTCCACTTCTGAGTTAAAAGCTCATTTTCAAAATGTAGCCTAATTAACTGGGGAAGGTAACTATGACATAGTTAATGATCCCTACTACCCTATTACCAATTTAGTCTGCCACAGTAGCCAAACACCTAACAGGACCCTATGAGAACAGAGGTGGCAGGATAGGTACATTTATAAGTGGGACAGAAGATTAGAAGAGTATGGGTGACACCTGAGAAAGACAGCCTTGTGTGGGAACATTTCACTGGAGGGGGTTAGAAAATGTTTATGGGAGTGGGGAGTTATGCAATTTATGGTGGCATAGGCTCCCGGGGCAAGAGTAGGGGTGCTGCAAGAGAGACTGAAGTGATTTCAAAAGGATTGACATAGCTCCAAAATCAACCAATGCTCACTTAGCAATTTTGGCCAGATGGTCCTAGACTATCCCCTACTCCATCCCTACCTATCTCCTACTCTGCCTCATAGTACAATAACCTGAGCATTTACATAAAGCATTTGTGAACCTTAAAGTACTACATAAATGTTAGCTATTATTTTAATTCTCTAAATAGTACTGATGTATACAGTAATCCTCCAGAAAAGAGAAAGGGGGGAGAGAGCGAGCAAGCAGTTAAACAGAAAATCAGCTGGCATGCTACAGAAACAATCCAGCCTTAAGAGTTCGGGGTAGCTAGGTGGTACAGTGAATAGAGCACTAGCCCTGGAGTCAGGAGGACCTGAGTTCAAAGCCGAATTCAGACACTAACTAGCTATGTGATCCTGGGCAAGTCACTTAACCCTGTCTCTCTCTCTCTCTCTCTCTCTCTCTCTCTCTCTCTCTCTCTCTCTCTCTCTCTCTCTCTCTCTCTCTGTCTCACACACACACACACACACTCACACACACACACAAAAGAGTCAGAGGGCTTGGGTTCAAATCATGGCTCTCCCATTCCCCATATGACCCTGTGTAAATTACTTTATTCCAGGCTTTGATTTTTTTCATCTGTAAAATGAGGGAATTAGTCTAAAAAGCCTTCATAGTGTCTGCCAGTTCCAAACCTATGATTCTAAATTTCCTCATTTCCACACAGACTAACTTCTAACATACCTTTTTTTTCCTTTGCACAGAAAGAGCTTGCCTAATGGAAAAGGATCCAGGATCCTTCAAGGCATCCTATACAATGTGGTGCTTTGATCCCCTGGAGAGGAAATGCCTCCAGTTCTTGTATGGAGGGTGTGTAGGAAATGAAAACAGATTTCTCACCAGAAGGGAGTGTTATCAGAGATGTGCTCCAAAATCAGGTAAGTAGGAAGGATGTGGGGAGCTTCACATTAAAATAGATGAGTCAGAGAGGAGAAATGACTTTTTTATTCAGTTCAGCGAATAAAAGGACAAGATAGATGTGCTTAACATGAGAATAAAAAAATGTCTGAACAATTAAAAGAAACAGGAGTAAGGTTAGTGAGTGATGCCAGGCCAGGGAAGACCCATTGTAGTGACCATTCCTGAGCCTCCTGGTGCTCATCATTGCAACTAACATGTCCTAGGCAGTGGGGGCTAAGAGGATGGGTCAGTGGCATCTGGGTCCCAGTTGTAACATCATCACCATGCTAATGACCTGTGTGGTTTATTACGATTTCTTTTGGCTAACTGCTATTCTGGTGTAGCTCAACTCTCTCTTTGGACAACAAATTAAAAATGAAACCATCTGTTATTTCAAGTATCACTGGCCTTGAGGAAAATGATAATCGGTGCAATTCTCTATCATCTGGGTAAAGAAGATAAGTTCTATTTATTAAAGCATCTCTTAATCGAAAGATTGCCTTAACTCATCTGTTTGTAGACCAGCTGCCTTAAACATTTACACTATACTTGAATTTTTGCTTTATTCTAAAGTTCAGGGTTTTTTTTCTTTTATACCCTAAAAAAAATTTATCTTTTGTCAAAAGGCGTGCCTATTTTAACCAAAGTATATACCAGATACATGAAAGGAGTATGGGTTCTTTTGATAAAGAAGAATGTGACTAGTGGAGTGAATATTATTCTCTTTCCTCTTGGGAATCTAAGCACTTGAAAATGGTTTCCCCCTCACATTCACTGCATTAAAAACAAGTGATATATTTATGACTCCTACAGTAGCATGCATGGCTATAGTTTCATTATCACCAGGAGATTAGTTCAGATGAGGGTGAAGAAAATTACTACATTGGCACATTATAAAATGTGTTTCTCACTTTACATGTTAGTTTATAATCTTTTAGTCATGAGGTGGTCAGTGTTTTCTGTCATCTCTCCTCTAGAATCATGGTTAGTCATTGTGTTTCTCAGTTCTTAAATTCTTAGAAATGTTTGTTTTTACAGTATTGATGTTATAGTATAAGTTGTCTGGCTCTGCTCACTGCACTCTTCATCGATTCATTCATGCAAGTCTTCCTGAGTCTCTCTGAAGCTATTTCACATTTCTTACAGCATAATAGAATTCCATTCCACCCATATACCATAATTTGTTCTGCTTTTCTCCAAATGATGTCCTACTCTCTTAGTTTCCCTTTTTTGCCACCACAGCAAGAGCTGCTATAAAAATTTTTATATGTACAGAGCCTTCCCTCTTTCTTTGAAATCTCTTGGGGCATAGGCCTAGCAGTACTATCCCTGGGCTAAAGGGTATGTAAAATAGACTCTATTTTCCAAATTTAAATTAAATTTCAGTCTCTTTTTGGAATAAATTATTTTCTTCTTTATATGGGAAAAAAGCAACATAATTTAAAGAAAAAAGAAATAGCAGATAGTTAATAGAGATGAATGTAAAAACAAAGACTGCCCTTTGATGCTCATACAGTTAGATTTATCCAGGATCCAATTCAATTCAACAAACATTTATTAATAAGCACTTAACTATGTTCATGGATGTAACATGAGATTCTTGTGGCATTGTGGGGAGAGAGTGATCATAATAAGAAGAACACTGAACTGGAATTTTTAAAATCAGTGTTCTATTTCACTCATTTGGTCCTCAACTTACACATCTGTAAAATTAAAGGGAGCAGTGCCAGGACAGTGGTGTCAAACTCAGACAGAAATAAGAGCTACTAAACAGTCCCTAAGGAGTCCTCCAGGCCACAGATTGATTTAGAAAACCACATACTAGCATTATCTATGTTTTACTGCATTTTTATTTATTTTGTAAGATATTTCCCAGTGACATTTTAATCTGGTTTGGTCAGCACTCCGGGAGTGTTGTGGGCTGCATGCCATCATGTGTTTTGCACTTTGGTGCTAGAGAATCTGTCAAGTTCCTTTGGCTCTAAAATTATGTGACTTTCAGTGTTTATATAGCACTTACTATGTGCTAGGTACTTTACAATTATTATCTCATTTGATCCTCACAACAACCCTGGGAGGCAGATACTAATATTACTCCCATTCTACAGATGAGAAAACTAAGGCAAAAAGAAGTTAAGTGATTTGCTCAGAGTAAGCCAGTGAGTGTCAGGCTGGATTTGAACTCAGGTCTTTCTGACTCCTAGCCCAGTGCTTTCTATCCACCTAGTTGCCCTCATCTCATTCACATCCCATTGTCTAAGACTCTTGTCCATGTCCTTCTATAAATGCTACACAGGGGATCCAGGGATATGCCAGGGATCTTCTTCAATCTCTTGATATTACATGGGTACCAATGGAATAGTAGGCTGACCATCTGGAGCCAGGCCTTCATCAATAATTGACTTTTTTCCTTTTCTGATCTTTGGTCAAATCATTTAATGCCCTTCTCCTATGTAATATGCTACATCTCTTGTTTATTTTTGTTTGAGGAGTTGGGTTGGGTTTTATTTGTTTGCTTGTCGGAGGGCTGTTAGGTGTTTTTTTTTGCTGTTTTTGTTGTTGTTGTTATTGTTTTTTAGTCCGGGACTGTGATTTCATTAATATAAGAATCTCTCCATAGGGAAACTCCCTGAATCAATACAGATGAGGAACTGTCCACAATTAAGAGTTGTCTGGGGCAGGGTACTGGGAACCTAAATGTCTTACTCAGGATCAGGCAACCAATATGCAAGTTGACTTACCCAGGGTTAGGCAGCCAGGATTTGAACCCAGGTCTTCCTGACTGGGAGGCTGTCTCACTTTCCAGTAAGCCTTGTTAAACAATGAAAATATGCAGAATGACTGTTACTCACTGTGCTTTAATAATGCACAATGCTAATGTCTTTTCTCCAGCCCAAGAACAGACATCAGACATGTGCCCTGTTCAAAATTCCAAACACATGCCAGACCTCAAACTGTGCTGTCATAATCCTCACTTGACAGGATTTATTAAAATACTTATCAAGGCTTCCTTTTTCTACAAAGGTCTAGTTTTGCATTTTTTTTCTGCTAGGTTTTTTTTTTCTTGTTAGTTTTGCTTTATTTCTGCTGGATTTTTTCTCTTGCTAGTTTTGCTTTTTATTTTTCCCTGCTAGGCTTTTTTTTCCCTCTGAAACCTATTTTTCAAGCCCACTAAGGATTTTTTTTAATGTGTCTTGCTTGGCAGAAACTCTAGCATCTTCATCCCTCACAGGTTTTCACCAGGCAGAAGTGATCTTTCTTTTTCATCTACCTCTGGGCTGTCCCTCACACAGGGGACATGACACGTTGAAGTCTGATAAGCCTAACCTGATGTGGCTGGACTGAAGGAAGACAGGCACACACTTGCTGTATTTGGCTCCAGTTTCCCCAGGCCATGCTGTTCTCTACTCTTGGAGACTATATTGTACTAAGGATAATAGAATCGTAGCTTTAGAGCTGGAAGGGATGTAAAAGGCCAGCAAGTCCAATCTCTTCATTTTATGAATGAGGAAACTGAGGTTCAGAGAGTTACATGATTTGCCCAGGATCTCAGAGCTGATAAGTGACTGAGGCAAGACAGAGGTCACTGATACTTCTTTCATTCCCCCCGCCCAATTATTATGAATGCACTTTCACTCAGATTATTTCCTTATCTGTGTAAATAACTTGACTCCCCTCTCAAAATTTTTACAGACTTGACAAATGGCATAGTTGGCATTGTTTTGTCCCATCTGTCATCTGGATATTTTTTTTTTTTGCAACAGAAGGTGGTGGTCTCCCTGCTTCCTTCAAGTGTGATAACTATAGATTCTGTTGCCTCCTCTAATGGTTAATGCAAATGATTAAAGCACATACTCAGGGAAGCCATCCAGGGAATAAGAGCATGGGACTGTGCTGAGGGAATAGAGCCTGGGATTCTGGCCACTGACTAAGACCATAAGTGAGATCTAGCCAGTAGAGCTCCTTAAGGCTCTATATAGTCTTTTCAGTGTGGGGACTCTCTCCCTACAGACCTACTTATGACATAGCACGGTCCTAGAACAAGGGTACTTAATCCAGGGAATTTTCGTTTTCCTTTTAAACATGTATTTTGATAACTATATTTCAATATAATTGGCTGCCTTTGTGGTCTTGTGTATTTTATTTTATGCACTTAAGAACATGGTCCTGAAAAGTGGTCCATTGGTTTCATCTGACTGCCAAAGGGCTCCATGACACAGAAAAGGTCAAGAATCCTTGTCTTAGAATGTTGTCTGAGGCTCAGAAAGGTTAAGTGATTTGGTCATAGTCACACAGCTAGTTAAGAGTCAGGGGCAGAATTGGAACCCACTTCTTACAGACTTCCACTATAACACTATGTTTATGTCTTATTCCTTCAATAAGATCTAACCACAAAGCTAGAAAAATAAAAGAGCAAGGATGTATTCTAAGCTTAAAAAATTTTTTTTAAGGTATCCCTTATTTTGTAGAAGAGGGAGCTATATAGTGAGAGATAATGATGTTTAAGAAGATGAGGCCTGGCCTGGACCTTGTCTCTGTAAGGGAGCTATCCATCTCATGAAATGAAGGGCAGTTACCAACTGCCTTAATGTTCTTTCCCCAGAGGAGTGTGTCATTGTTGAGTCATTTCTGTCATATCTGACTCCTTGTGACCCCATTTGGGGTTTTCTTGGTAGAGATATTGGAGTGGTTGGTCAATTCCTTCTCTGGCTCATTTTACAGATGAGGAAACTGAGACAAACAGGGTTAAGTGACTTGCCCAGGGTCACAAGGCTAGTAAGTATCTGAGGCTGGATTTGAATAATCCTCTTGCTCTACACACTGCACCACGTAGCTGCCCAGGGAGTTAGCCTATATGGCCCCTAATTTTTCTTTTGTCTCTAGATCTATGGTCCTAAGCAGTAAAAGCAATAAATAAACAAAAATCATCATATCCTTCAATCCAGTAATTCCATTATAGGGAATGTGCAATGAAAGT